CCTTCCTTCCTTCCTTCCTTCCTTCCTTCCTTCCTTCCTTCCTTCGCAATTCCACTAAGAAACAAAAAATAAAATATGAACTCTTTATCTGCAAGCTCTTCAATCACAAAGTTAGAAAATCTTGTTAAGTATGTGAGTTGCAATATATGGTTATAGTGAAAGAGCTAAAATGGGGTTAATGTGGCTTGAAAAGTTAAAACTCATATACCTTATTTTAACATTTACCTTAAAATTGTTTCCTATATGACAATATTTCCACATGAAGATAATTTCTGTGGATAAGCCCCATATAATATAAAACCTCTTCAGATATACTTCATTTTGAGTGTACATGCCAGGAAGTAGTTATAGACGATTTCTTTTTCCATGTACATTAACTTGTGCAGCAGCATTGTACGATTAAATCTTCATGTAGGGTGCTTCAGTGTGGTCCAATATGGAAACCACACATATCACAAAGCTCTTCAGCAAAAAAGTCATTTATAGCTGAATCTATGGATGAATACTCATCCACTTGCTCCTAATAATCATGTGCAGGGTTGCAACAATGCTGAAATTAGATTGTGGTTGAAGTAGCCTGCAGTCCTACTGAAACTGCAGAGAAGGGAACATGTAGTTTAATATATTAATGCATAAAATGACTGTATGAACAGATCTTTTTCATTTCTTCCTCATTTCTAGGTCCTTTAGAGCATGTCCATTTGTCACTTCCATTTGTAACAACAAAGAACAAAGAAGTTAATGCCACAGCAATTTTATGGCCCAGTCAAGTTGGAACCCTAACATATATTTGGTGGTTTGGAAACAACACTGAGGTCTGTATTTCATGCAGAAAAATTAGTGGTTAATTAACACTTTGACCACATTATCAAAGGAGGTGGGGGGTGGGAGGTTGAATTATCTCAAGAAACAGATTACAGGACCCTGATGATCACAGATAGCAATGTCTACTATTCCAGGGTTTGAAGCTGTACTATTTTCTATTTATTTACACACACACACACACACACACACACACACACTCAGGGATGTTTTCATCACATGTAAAAAAGGGAAGGCTTTGATTGAATGGTTGTGGCCAACATCTTGACTTTTTTTTTTTTTTTTTTAAAAACTCCCAAACCCTGGTAATTTTTTTTAAATTTTTGGATTAGTAGAATGTTTGCAGATTTCCAAGATCAACTTCTTCTGTTTGACCACTGTTTACCAACTTTGGCAGTTTCCAGGTGTGTACACTTCAAATCCCAGAATTCCATGGCCAACATGGCCATTGATGAGAATTCCTGGAATTGAATCCACACACCTGGAAGCTACCAAGGTTGGGAAACACTGAATCAAGCTGATAGAAGATTCTTATTTGCATTGTTAATCAGGAGTAACTAAATGATACATAGCCTATGGACAGTATTTAATTTGCTAAAGTAACCCAGCATTAATTCTTCTTGCTAACTAATTTGTGTTATGAGCTGCTGTACTGCTATGTTTAAAAGACATTAGACAGTGGAGAAAGTGGACCTAACCATTATAAAAGTTATATTAAGGATGTTCCATTGAGATCACTTGAAGTTAAACATTTATTGTTCACTAAATGGTACAGACAGCACCTTTAAGGATATCTTAATATAAGTATAAGCAACAATGATGGGACTTGCACTTCATGAATGCAGCAGGCTTGTGTTGTATAATTAAGCCAGACAGTATGGTTGCCTGGTTGGTCCCATTTTCATTCCTCACAGCTTGTTTTAAATTATTCTGAGATAAATTATTTATTAAGCCAATGCAAGGTAACCTAACAGTGTGCAAACCTTTGCATTCTTAAGAATTTTTCAGCGAGATCAGGAAAGCCTAAAAGGGCACAAATATGGGGCATAAATAATGGTTTGGCATAATGGCCAGGGCAAAAATTGGAATTCAGAATATTCCCAATTACCAGATACACCCAAAATGTAAGGGAGGATTTATGTTTTATCTCATTTTCAAAGAGAGACAAACTTTGGAACAGAAAGTGAGGGAGGAAAAGGAACTGTCTTGCCTACCTGAACTCAGCTGCTCTTTAGATATTGCTCTTTAGTAAGAATATCAATGTTTAAATACCTTACATGTTTTAAATTATTACTCAATTGGCACTTTTATACACTGTCCACCAACTTCAGTGATGGATACTCTAAATCAATCCAAATAAATAAAAGGAAAGGTAGGATTGCCCTTTTGAGAATATGGAGTTTACCGGAAAAAGAAGCAGGGTTTTTAAAATATCCTTAATGTATGATTTTACATTATTTCAAGCAATAGCTGAACTATAAGAGGTGATTAATTTCTTCCACAATACTCACATGGAATTATGCGATATTTTTTTTCCATAATGGTTCCATAATGATATTCTATCATTATCCTAGAAAACAATATGATAGCCCCAAAGGCAGTTTATTCACACACTAGATGACACTGAGATCATAGATATTATACATGTTGTTATTGATTTATTTACAGAATATGGCACAATAAAATTATTAGTACCAAGAGTGCTCTTGAAAGAATCCTTATTGTTCTGTGGTTCTTTGGTTCTTTATTTTCTTTCCACTTTTCTATTTCTCTTTTTGGCAACCTGTCCTTTTCTTGTCTAACCTTTATGATCTTTTCTTTTTCTCTGTTACTGAAACCTGCAGAGAGATATTTTTCATGCTTGTGCAAAGGATGTTACTATGTGACAATTAAATATTTGTCACCACTAATGCAGGGAAACCTCAGTGCTTTATCACCACTGATCTACTTGTTTTTAGCCCAAACTGAAAGGTTAGAAGGGTCTTCCTTTAATGAGTCAATCATTTGAGGGGTCTTATTAACAACTTCACAGAAAAAAATAGCACTGAATGAAAGGGTCTAAAGTTCTGCACCTTCCATATTAACAGTTTTCTTATTTTGAATCGGCTAGCTGCACAAAAAGAATACTTATATGTTTACAGAAAGATATTGAGTTTAACTTACTACTGTGTAGAAGCTGTATCAGGTTTTGTTCACTTCAAAATTCATTGAAACATACAAGTTGAATGGGAATGTGTAAATTTTACATATAATTGTACAAAAACTGGAATAATTAGGGGAAAATATCAATCTTATCAAATCTACCCATCTGTATCTGTTGTACACTTATAAGGTTTGTTCATCACATTAAGCCTCAATTTGATTTATTTGGATCATCTCTCAGTTTATTGTGTGATCAGTATGGTTTGTAAGCCTAATGTTGTGGCTTAGTTTTTATGTAAACTAAGACAAGCATGATTTATTCAACAAAACATTTTTAAAATCCCTGCCGTTTCATATTTTATAAGAATTTAGCCATTGTTTTCTGGATTATGTAGGTACTTTTCTGAAGCTTTTCTGAATGATAGGTTTCATATTTTATAGAACCTTTCCAGATTTATGATTTTTCAAAGAATTGAAAAATGTAAGACAAATAAATCAGTGGCAATATCTTCTTAGCTATTCTTTAGGCTGACATACTGGGCAACTTTAATCCCAGTCTGTTTTTAGTAACACATTTATCTTGGTTTTTTATTACTACAACATTAATGATCTTTTATGTCTTTGCAGCCACTGATTACTCTGGAAGGGAGTATCACATTCACCTTCTCTGCAGAAGGTATGAACACAATCACAGTACAAGTTTCTGCAGGAAACACAATTCTGCAAGACACCAAGATGATTGCAGTGTATGGTGAGCCTTGTTTTTGTTTGCTCTTCCTGATTCATTCCTTGGGTTTCCATGGCTGTTCCCCTTTGCTGTGTTCACCACTTGGAAAAAAAAAGGAGACTAAAAAGAACGCAATAAGGCCTAAACATGTGATATGCCAATCAGATCAATCAAGAGCAAGGGCCAATTCAAAGCTAAACTTATATGTATTGTAAGTTAAGGGTCTATTTACCCATCACAAAATCTATTCTTTGGACTCAAACGACTTCATAACAAATTTACACCCAGGGAAATTCTTACTTTTCAAAAACTCAGCACATGGGGCATATTCTATAGCAGAGGTGGACAAATGATTTTGTATTAGAGTCACACTTTGAATTTTAAAAATTTTGCCTCAGTGGGCATTTGAGCAGATCCAAGAACAGTAGAGAAATATACATATTTTATCACTTTTATCACCACCATATATTCTTAAACTTGGGCATGTTCAGTCACAACTATTCTATCATCCACTTCAAGGGAATGTTTTGCTGGAATATTAGCTTATTGGCACCTCCCTAAATCTCTTGTCAATTTGCAGAAGGCAAAAGCAGAGTCAAGATTACATAGTCAGCAAGAGGGTGGGCCTCAACATGTTCATCCATTTTTTCCATACATAATGCGTTGTGTATGTGTGTGTGTATGTATGTATGTGTGTGTGTGTGTGTGTGTGTATATATATATATATATATATATATATATATATGCATGAATACATACATACACATACACACATACATACATACACACACACACATATATATATATATATACAAAATTATTTAGCATTTGCATTTTCCCACTTGATGTTGCCAACCTTATTCAGTGATGAAAAATACCTGAGCTAAAGTTTTCTTTCACAACACTGCTATCTTGCATAGAATAGTTTCCTACATACAGGTATTTCAAATGCTGAAGTTAGTGTAACACTTCTCTTAAATCCTCACTCAGTTCCTTACCTTTTTATAGTAGTAATTTAAAGTAATTGCCATGCAGCCGGTCTTATTTTGAGGGATGTTTTCAAGTGTTTAATTTGCATCCTTTCAAAATCCAAACAACTTAATTGCTATACAAACTGTCTGTATTTGGAGGAATACTGAAGAAAACACACACACACCAAACCACAATATGTGTTTGAAGACATGCAAATGAAGACTTGTCTGGGTTCTTTTTTAAGCCTCTCTAGTAACTTGGTTCATAGAACAGTAACACTTAATGAGCTGATTACCAATAAAGCTTCAGATTTATCTTCATTTCGAATTTGTTCTGGGTCGGTGCAAAGTTGAAATTGGTTTAATCAGTAGGATCTAAACTGAAAACACTTTGAAATCAGTGCAGGTGGCATTGGATATTCCTCATGTTTGCAGACTTTTAAATGCCATAATTCTTTAAAACGGGCAAATAATACAATTACAGCATTACAGTCTGCTAAATGAAGTGCAAAGACAAACATTCAGGAGCTGTTTCATACAGCTATTTTCTCCTCTTCCTCTCTCTTCCTCACTATGGCTATGCAGACCACTGCAACACTTTCAAAAGATACCTTTAATATCTTTCAATATATAATCCTTTAAAATATATTAGTTCTTTCAAATGGCCTATTTTCCATGAGAAGTTTGTAGTTAAACTGCCAAGTAACTAATACTGAAATAAGTATAAGAACTTTATTGCACCCTAGGGATCATGCAAATAGGCCTTTAGTTGATGCTATATGCAGTGCCAGATTTAGGCATAAACTAAACAAGCTAGAGTTGAGGGCCTCATAGTCTGCAGGGCCTCACAATATTTCAGAACATCTTGCAAACAACAAGTATTAATATAATACTTATATTAATAAAAGTGATCCTGATTACTTATTTTGTCAGCATTTTGTATACGTATTAATATATCTTAAAATTATTTTAAAAATTACATTTAGATATACTATATTATAATCTATGAGAGAGATCCAGCCAGCCAAATGATAAATATGTAATCAGTAAATGCATTCATTTGAAAATAATTTGTATTTTTCACTTTAAATACCTTGCTATTAAATAATTAAAAGGCAAATATATGTTTTTAATTTTTTTGTGGTGACCCAAGGTCCTGTTTTGATATGCACTTTTGTGAGACCTTCTGGTATAACTTTTTAACAAGGGGCCTCTAAGCTTTATATAGTTTAGGGCCTCATCAACTCTAAATCCAGCACTGATAGTAGGATATATATTTTAGCTTTATTAGTTAGAATTGAAAATATCAATCTGTTCCTCTTTGCCTAAATGTATGCTATTTTAACATGAGCATCATTAAAAAAAAAAAGCAAAACAGGGGACCCCCCCCTTTTTTTCTTTGCCCTAGTGCTGTAGAACAAAAGAAAAAAGAAAAAAAGATATTCTAAGGTTGGTTTGTTTTTTTTCCAACTTGACTGCCACAGTAGTGTCCCATTATGTCTAGCAATGTCCTGATTTGACATTTGGCTCATCCAATTCTAAGCAGTTATTTGTCAGCACATTTTATGGGATCAGGATGTTAAGTAAGATCTGTTGTCTGATATGGACATCAATCCAATTGATTAGAAATCCAAGCTCGCTTTAAAAATGCAGTAGCTATGTCTCAAGAGTTTTCATGCATAAGAGCCTGTGATTCTCTCTCTCTTTCTCTTCATCTCACTCTATTTCTCTCTTTTCCTCCTAGAGCATTTTCAGTCTTTACGGCTTTCGTTTTCTCCAAATCTGGATGAATACAATCCAGATATTCCTGAATGGAGACGGGACATTGGTCGAGTTATCAAGACAGTTCTAGTTGAGGTAAAAGAAATTGCCATATTTTATTCATATGCTTTGGTTATCTTCCACTAATCTCTTTGAAAAGAGCTCTTACAAGAATCTGAATCCAGTTTAAGACACAAGAACTATTCGCAGGAATACTCCTCCTGTTTATCAGATTAATATAAAAAATTCTCATTCATTTAATTTCAGAAAAAAAGTTTTTTGTTCTCCTTTTCTTTTATCTCACCATTTTTTTTTCAATGAAACTAGTCACAGATGCCTTGGTCTCATATCATTGTAAATGTGTTCTTTTGTAGCATGCTAAAAATGGGATTGTGTTTGTTTTGTTTACTAGCTGGCAAAGACCCTTTTAAATATATAGTTTGGTGTCTATCTTGTATTCCCATCTGTGTATGCTACTTAAGTCTAGCATTTTGTTCATATGGATCACTGCAGTCTCTGCTGTGCCTGTGTTATGATCATGTATTTCATTAATAACACAGTCACCTTGGTTCAACAATGGAAAATCTGAAATGCACATTCCTTCATCATACTTTCTCAAAGTTATGGTGCAGAAGAACACAGATCAAGGGACGCTGGGACCATGGTGCTAAATACGTTTGTGGAATTAATGTATAGTTCTATAATACTAGTTATCTATCGGGATTGATGAGAACAATTCAAGAATGTGATGGAATATAGATCTGAGTATTTCCAGTCTAAATAGTTTTCCAAGACCTGTACCAATTTTTTTGTCGACTAGAAACAAATTTTCTTGCCAGAATGCAAGTAATATTTCTGAACAAAATTTGAATATCACAGTTAAGGCAGAAAAAAATAGCTAAACATGGGCTATCATAGGCTCACCACAACTTTAAGCCTGAGCAGATCATGCTCTCATCATAAATGAAGCACAAAATTCACACAGTAAATCTATAATATTCGCACATAGAATATACATTAAAAATATGTTTCATTGTAGGGATAATATCCTCTTCTTAAAATGGACTCATCAATAGATGGGACCCACTTCAGTCTTTTCAACTCTAGGCAAATGAGCTCCAAGAGTTTGCAAACTGGGATATACATTGGGTGAACTTGGGTGGGGGTGGGAGGAAGTGACATTATTCATGGTATGAGTAATGCAAATTACATAATGTCATCATACCTTATACCGGATGCCTATATTTCCAGCTCTTTTATGGCTCCTCCCCACCCCCCCAGAAGTACATTCAAGAGATACAAGCCTTACTCGTAGCATATTTCATTCGTTCGTTCGTTCGTTCGTTCATTCGTTCATTCAATTTATATAGCTACGTACTTGATGTGTGATTCAGGGTGCTGTATGGAGTTAAAAACAACAAATAGTAACCACAAAAGAATAAAATATAATTAACCATATTTAACAAAGGCAGTTTAAACAACTAGAAACAAGCAAGATGGTCTCAAAAAACTTCAAATGCTTGGGGGAAAACTAGGTTTTTAGAGCCTTTCAGTAGACAAGCAGGGTCAGGACATCCAGATCTTGGTGGGAATGCTATTATGTGGGCAGGTATGTGACAGAGGTCTCCTGTATTTCATCAGATGACATTGTTTAAGTGATAGAACTTGGAGCATGCCAAGCCTATCAGATCTTATTGAATGGCAAAAATAATTGGAAACAGGCAGTCCCACATAACCAGTCCCTGGTCTTGTCTGTATGCATCCCAAATGCATATGCCTTCCTATATAGAATGTACTTTGGATATTCTGCTTCTAACTTACGTTATTGTAACTGTGTCTTGCCATTGTCTGTACTGTTTCTGTGAATTCAAGAAAAGCACCTGACTGGGTTAGTCTGATATATCACGTGTGGTAGAGCTCCTATTAGTTCCTTTGTCAACTTCTATGTCTACTGAAGATAGACCCTGAGCTGTGTGAGATCTAAATAGGATTGTTACATGGCTTTCCACCTGTTTATCAGGTTTCTAAAATTCCTTTCCTCCTAATTTATCCTGAGATTTTGAAGTTCAGCATTAATTGGTCCTTGTGTTAGGTTGTTTTTGGCCTAACAGTCTATTTGTTTTGATTTCCATTTTGATTTTGTAAATACCACAGTACATGATACATTCTTTATTTGTGTCGTTCATGTTCATTAATTATTTTTCTTTGCAGGTATTTTTTTTAACTGTATTTTTTAAGTCTCTGAAAAACCAGCAATCACATTAAGCCTATTTAGCACTGTCAAAAATTCTCTGCTGAGAGATACTTATGGGGGAAAGTAAAATGCTTATCTTAGAGTGCATATGGAGAATGGATTTTCTGAATGGAAGATGTGGATTTGAATGCAATTGTATTTGATGATCAGGTTGAGAGCAAAAGAAGCGAAAAAAAATCAGTTCTAGATTTAAAGGTGGTATGTGTTTTTCTTTATTAAGTATTTTTTTGAATATTGATGTTGGAATAAACAGAATGGTGGGATATAAATTAAATAAATAAAATGGTTTTGATTAATAAAGTCAGTAAATTTAGAAAAAAATAAATTAGAAGACAATCAGTTTTAGTTTATTTTAACTACAGAGACAAAGCTTTGGATGTTACTCTAACGTACTGTTACTTTTACTTTCCACACATTAGGCAACAAGTATTTCCAGTGAACATATTTTGGTAGCGATCCTGCCAGGTTTACCTACATCTGCTGAACTCTTTATTTTGCCCTATAAGGATACCACAGGAGAAAGTAAAGAAACAGCTGAAGATCTGCAACAGGTATTTGGTTCTTTTTATGTTGCATATTAATAATGTTGAACTATTAAGAAATTTACATTGAGCATTTCTAGAAAGTGATGATCACACACATCTCACATTAATATAGTTATTAATTCATAGCAATCTTTATTAGTACTTGCATTATTCATGACTATAGCCTTCCAATTTTCTCTAAATTGTGCCTGCAGTCACTGAATGAGTAGTTACACATTAACAAACGTAAAGGAGAAAAAGAAAAAATTGGCAACCAAGTTATTGCTATAGAAACCAAAGCATTTAGTTTAACAGTAAGTATAAATTTATTGGATTTATGTGGCTACCCAGCTCAAATAAAGCAACTCTGGCAGCTAACACAATAAAAACATTAATACAATAAAAAGCAATAAATAAAACATACCAGGAAACAAAGAAAAATGGCACCAGGAATAATCCAGTCAGCAACAAATTCATTCTGCTCATGGGCTTAACCAACTCCTGACCCATGTCTGAGATAAATATAGACACAGGTCTCCATTATTTCTGCCTTCCAGCCCATGAGCAAACTGTATGCAAAATATCTGTACAAGAATGGACTGAAAGGGAACAGCTAATCACTGAAAGACAGGCAGGATATTCAGAAGGGGTATCACCTATAGATAATTCAGCAGATAATTCAATTATAGTTCCTTCAACATTCAATTAAGAAATTATCTGGATTCCATGATTCACTGATAATTTTTAATATAGTTTTGCTAGAAAAGGTATGTTTATTTCTACTCTGGTAAGTCTGTAAGTCTGCAAAACCCTAATATTAAATTTATCATTTAATGTAAATAATATTTTCATTTGACTAATGAGTCAATTTATTACACACATGCTTAATCGGTTAGCCAGTTTTTCTTCCACTGACTTTGAACTCTAATAATGATAAACTAATAATTAATGTTGAAAATCTTTCTAAGGAAGATTACATTCTGTTGGTTGCTAGCTTTAATATTGTTTGCAGTATTTGGGTAATTGTCCTGCAATCATACATACATGCTAGGGCCTGACATCAGGAACTGGTAGTTCTTTTATGGGCTGATATTCTTTTATAGAGCAGATACTTGATTTAGGATGTCCTGAGGAAGTCCTGCTATGATTCAACTGATTCAAATGGTTTTTTATAAAATTTTGGGCCTTCATACCTTCACACACACACAAATCTTACATTCAAGCCAAATCCAGAGGAGTTCAGTCTGTTCCTTAAATCAGTCTAGTTCTTTATGCCTGGGGTTGGATTTTCTGCTCAATATTCAGAACAGTACATATTAAAAGTATTAGAACACCTCTAGTGATTTTACTCCTTCTGTATCCCATATGAGATTCTTACGGGACATTAACCATGAGAATAACTTTTTACCCTGAAAGGCATAGCTTTTAATCTTTTTTAAAAATAATAATAATAAAGAAAGGGTTATTTGTAGTGCTGAAAACAGCTAAGTCACTGGATATGAAATGGTGATAGTCCAATTTTTTGAACCAAAATAAGATTATCTGTATTTAGGCATTCTTAATTAATTTAGCTGCAAGTTTAAGTGTGCCAGCACTGGCACAAGCTCAAAGCTTTAACGTTTCTATGTCTATGATGGGCTTATGAAACTTGTACCTCATGAACCTGAACAAAGCCCAGGCATTTTTAGTTTTCCTACAAAAACATGTTCAGCATTGTTTTGTTGTTGATATGTATCTTACACTGAACAAGCTTGTTCTTGTTACCTGTACAAGGCTGATAGACAATATTTGGCTTGATTATGTGCCATCAAGTCAGTGTTGACTCCTAGTGACCACATAGACAGATTTTCTCCATGATGATCTGTACCTAACCTGGTCCTTCAGGTTTTCCCACGGTGCACTCATCATCACTGTATCTCACTGTAGCCTTGCTGCTGGTCATTCTCTTCTTCTCTTTCCTTCCATCTTTTCCAGATTCTCCAGAGAGCTAGGTGTATAATATCTCCAAAGTATCATAATTTGAGTCTGTCATTTGTGCCATGGGTGAGAAGTCTGGGTTGATTTGTTCAATGATCCATTTGTTTATTTTCTTGGCAGTCTGTGGTATTCTCAGGATTCTTCTCCAACACCAATGTTCAAAAGTGTCAGTATTCTTTCTGTCCTGCTTCTTCAAAGTCCAGTCCCTCATACCTTCACACACAAGCGAAATCCAGAGGAGTTCACACTGTTCCTTAAATCAGTCTAGTTCTTTATGCCTGGGGTTGAAGTTCCTACTCAGAACAATTCATATTAAAAGTATTAGAACAATTGTAGTGATTTTACTCCTTCTTTATCCCATATGAGATCCGTATGGGACATTAAACATGAGAATAACTTTTCACCTGAAAAGACGTGGTTTTTAACACATTTGGTTCCTACTGAATTTAAGAATTTGTGTTAATAATTTAATAAGCTTCCTATTGAAGCAGCTTCCAATTAATATAAAACCACAGTCCTGGACTTACAGGTGCTAACCTTAATTTGTTAACCATGGTTTGTTGTATGAGCCACAACATTGGCTCATCCATCTTGCTGAATTTTCTAAACCATGACTTACAATCAAATGTGTGTATTTACTCAATATATTAAATTAAAAAGAAGCCCCTATATGCCATAGTGGAAGGTATGAATCCAGACACTATGTTACTAAGCTTCAGAGATAATTGTTTTGATAAATCCAATAATTGTATAGATATAATCAGATTCTAAATTTCTTAATTGTGCAAAGGGACTTGAATGAGAGAGAAATCTGTTTTATGCTCTGTAGATATGTGATACCCTATAGCAAGAGTTAATTGTTACGAATTTGTAATTCTCACAGTTGAACTCCCAGAGTTCAGCATCACCACACCTCTAATTAAAGCGTGCCAGATTTATATGTGGACATAGTTGCAGGGGTTCTGTATGCCAAGTATTGAAGGTTAGAAGGCATACCAACTTTTAAAAAATGAGACCAAAATTGTGCTACAGTGGCTCCACTGATGAATGTGTACATAAAGAAGTGGGGAGGGGAGCATTTTAACACATTTAGTGTGTTATTATTCTGAATGACACACTAAATAAAACAGCCTGAAGTCATGCAAATAATGTCATTTCAAGAACAGGTTTTAGGAGACAAATAAATTTACTGCTCAATGCCACCATTTCATAGGGGGTGAGGACATATACTCTTAATCAGTGCCTCAGTGTGTCAAAGGAGGCTTGGAAACTTTAGTAAAAATGTAATTAGAGACTAATAACTAAGTGTGGCTGCATAAGGGGTGAGGTGATCAGATTATTTCAATCCATGCCAATGTCCCAGGCATTCATTTGTTTCTTATATGCTGTTCCATTACCATCCCAGTCAGTAGATTTTTAAAAATGCATAAAAATAACATTTTAATATTTTTCTCAATATATGCATTTTTAAAGTAGCTTACCCTAAGTTATGAGATCTTCATGCATGTTTATTTATCTAAGCATTTTATTCTCATTTTGCCATTTTTTAAAGTCAAGATCTATAAAGCAATGACAAATCCAAGAACCAAGTGACATGAGAACCAAGAGGATGAATTTATCTTACCAAGAAGAATTTGAAGAACAGAGGGATTACAATAAATTCTTATGATGGCAAAGTTACAAATAACTGTAGCAGAAAGTATGAAAGTCAACCCTTCTGAGGGAAAGTGGCTTTCAGTAAGACACTGGAGGGCAGCATTGCACCTCTCCCTGTTTCTCTGTGCCTGTGAACTCAGACTCCTGTACACCCACATATGACCTAGTTCATTCATTTTATATCCTAATTATACTGGATCGTATTATCATGACATTGACATTCATATTGAAACCAAAGGCTGAGTACATCAAATCCACTGTTGACATTTTATTTCAGAATCTCTTAAACAACTCACAGAACATGAAGTACAGTTTTAAAAATGGAGTTGTTTTTCACTAAACATATTTATTCATTTTTGAAATTTCTACATGTCCTTGAACATTTACTTCTGCTTATGTGAATGTTTATTCAGATGTAAGATACATTGCTTAAATGTGTCTGAGTCCCAAGCTCCATTGCATAAGATTGCAGTGTAAACAAAAGTCTTTCTCTAATAAAACATTCTTTTTACTATGTATCATATTCTTGATGTGTCCTTCTATCATTGTTATGACTGTATCTGTTGTGAACATCAAGCAGTATTTTTCAATTAATAGGTTCACAATGAATATGGTGATGGGCAATATCATGCACATGGACAGATCCAGAATTTTAGATATATTTCTTTATTTTTGAAGAGGAGAGTTACTTTTTAAAAATTGATTAAATCTATAAGGGGCTTGTGCTACAGTTTTTATATGCATCTTACTCAAATTGCAGGGAAACTGCTGCCATATTTTTTAGGAAATGATAGTTGGGTGGGGCGCTCAATGGATATGGTTCACCACATGCAGCTTGGGGTCTCAGGTTGCCTGTCCCTGTTTTAAACCTCCTCTGTTTCCTATTTTTGAAGTGCAGTTCTGTAAAGTACCTTTAAAACTCTACCTCTTTGTTTTGAATTCCTGTAGTCTTCAGTTCCAAGTTCATGATATAGCATATTATGAGATAGTTACATTGCATCCAGGTTCATGTATCAGTTGAAATAAACAAGTTGCTGAAGGATATAAGACCTGTTGATGAAAGATGAAATACATATAATGTAAAATAAATTTGTACAAGTATCATGATAGCAGTTCTGAATGGAAGTTGTTTGTTTTTCTACTAAAATTCAGCATGGTTTATACTTCAACATTCGTTTTTTAGGGGCATTGTCACAATGCACCGGCTTTAAAATTAGACCTTGACTGAAATTTTTTTGTGGGAGTGCCAGTGAAACAAATGGGATTGGGTGCTGCATCCGTACTTCATTTCATTTAAGTGAGGCTTAATATATCTGTGAGGCTATATTTGGGTGGGAGCAATATTACCTGGGTCAAAGCAACCATTTTCAACAAAAGCAAGGAATGAGTCAATG